CTGCGGCCAGCGGGCCGGCCCCCGCGAGGGCGCTCCGACACGGAGCCAGAGGCCTGCGGGCTCCTGGGCTCGACGTCAGAGGTTGTCTGGCGTATTCCTCGGGTCTCGGTGGCTTTCCGGCCTCGGGATGCTCTCCTGCAGCTGCGCCGCGCCGAGAACGTTCGGGGGCTGCCCAGGTCAGATCGTCCCGAACGGCCGCTGGAGAGCGGACCTGCGTTCCGAAAGCCAGGGGGCAACGATGGGAGATCGGCCCAAGGAGGGGGGGGGAAGGCATCGAGCTGGCCTCGGCGATGCATCGCCGACAGCTCGGCGACAGGCCCCCGGCAGTGAGTCCGCACGCGCCCGGTCGGGGCGGCCCATCGGACCCCCACCGGCGAGAGGTGGACGAGCACAGCGGCCGAAGACGCGCCCGAGGGGCCGAGTGGGGCAGCGAGTTGGGGGGCTTCTCCCGCAGAGGCGAGGACAGGAGGCGCAGCGGGCTCGCAGGGCATACGGTCCTCGGGCCAGCGCAGGGGAGCGCGCTGCATCAGGATCGAGGGGGCTGCCCTGGCCACGGCGGGCCGCCCGCGGCCACGAGCAGGCCTCGCGACCACGTCCACCGACAAACTTTGGAACGATAGCCCAAAATTGATTTTGAAATTTCGGGATCCGCGAGAGAAACTAATCCACTCGCCCAAAGTGTAGCTCTCTATCTGTCCGAACGGCGTGTGGGGTGCCTCCCCCTCCCCAAAGCCCTCCCCCCCGGGGGCCTGGTCCGGCCGGCTTGGAGGGCGGGGGGGACAGGACAGGACAGGACAGGCCAGCTCCGGTTGCCGGAGCGCTCCCCTGGGGGGTTTGGAGGGGGGGGGAGGGGGGGGGGGGGGGCAAATCCGTCATCCGCACACTTGGAGCCACAGGAGGCCCCGAAACGGGCCAAAGAGGTTCCAAAGGTTCCCGGAACGGTCCAAGGGAGCTACGAATCGACGAAAGATTGCCCCAAAACGCCGAAGATTGCCCCCACACGGCTCCATAAGTCCCCAAGACGTTTGAAACAATATTACGAGGCGCCCCAAAGAGGCCCTCCAGAAGCAAAAACCGCCCAATTTCCTATGGGAAACGTACATATTCACCACATTCGCCCATTCGGCTTCCACGCGGCGCAAAACGGCCCAAGAAGCCTCCAAGATCGACCCTCGCCAGCCAAAGAGGCTCCCAAAAAGGCTCAAAGACAGCGTCCGGGCGATCCACGAAGGCGCCAGAAACCATAGCAACGGCCCAGGAAAGCCGCAGGACGGTCCCAAGATGGCTCCAAAACGGGCTAAGAAGGCTCCCAAAGGCTGTCCGGACGGCCCACGCAGGGGACGATTCGGTCCAAACCGCCCAAGATCGCCGCCAGACGGCCCCCCGGGTGTCCAAGACGTTTGAAAACGCGACCACGAGGCGCTCCAATCAGGCCTCCAAAAGTCCCATTCCCCAGGTAAAACGTACATTTTCAGCACATTCGCTTCTTGGGCTTTCACGAGGCCCACAACGGCCCAATCAACCTCCAAGATCGACCTCTGTCACCCGAAGAGTCACCCGAAGAGGCTCCCAAGAAGGCTCCAAGACGGCTTCCAGGCGATCCACGAAGGCTCCCGAAACCATAGCAACGGCCCAGGAAAGCCGCAGGACGGTCCCAAGAGGGCTCCAAAACGGGCCAAGAAGGCTCCCAAAGGCTGTCCGGACGGCCCACGCGGGGAACGATTCGGTCCAAACCGCCCAAGATTGCCTCTAGACAGACAACGAGGCGCTCCAAGCAGGCCTCCAGAAGCAAAAGCCGTCCCATTCCCTAAGAAAAAACACATTTTCAGCATATACGCTTCTTGGGCTTCCACGAGGCCCACAACGGCCCAGTAAACCTTCAAGATCGACCTCTGGCACACCAAGAGACTCTCCAAAAGACTCCACGACGGCCTCCAGGCCCCCCACAAAGGCCCCAGACACCATAGCAGCAGCCCAGGGGAACGGCAGGACGGTCCTAAGAGGGCTCCAAAACGTGTCGAGAGGGGCCTCACAGGCTGTCCAGACAGGCCACGCGGGGGACGATTGCTGCCGCCCCCGAGGGGTCGGCGGTGTGACGTAAGCCAATGAATCTGAGGAACGGCCCGAAAAGCAGAGCCCATCCCGAACCCGAATTGCTCCCTACTTCAGCATGCTGAATGAATTCGCCGACAACTCAGTAAAGCGGAAATTAATACCTACATGTACATGTGAGGGCATGCGGAACGGAGTGTCACAAAGCATCTGTGACGTGCGCTGGTATATTATGGTCATCCGATTCCTCACCCTCCTGTTCCCCCTCCTCCTGCTCCTCCTCCTCCTCCTGCACCTCATCCTCCTCATCCTCCTCCTCCTCGTCCTCCTCCTCCTCCTCCTCCTCCTACTCCCCCCACCCTCCTCATCATCATCCTCCCCCCACTCCTCCTCCTCCTCCTCCTCTTCCTCCTCCTCCTCCTCTTCCTCCTCCTCCTCCTCCCCTTCTCCTCCTCCTCCTCCTCCTCCTCCTCCTCCTCTTCCTCCTCCTCCTCCTCTTCCTCCTCCTGCTCCTCATCCTCCTCCTCCTCCTCCTCCTCCTCCTCCCACCATTGTAGGTCTTACCTCGATGTTACTCAATTGCTTCGCTCATTCCGCTGGCCCTTATTGTCGCACCTCTGTCGATTTGGGAGTGTATTCCTGAGGGGGTCGCAGTGACTGTGGATTTGGTTTCGGGGGTTCGTGGCAGATTCTGGCGTGGTTGTCCTGGGGCATTCGTGGGTGATCACGGGTCTGGTAGGTGATTTATTTGCTTGTGTCGGTGAGGGGTTGATGATTCTGGATGGTCGCTGCAGGGCCATGTCGCAAATCGGAGGTATTGCTCGCGAGTTTGAGCCTTTCCGTTTTGGAGGGTGGCGGCTTGTGAGTGCGACCGCAGGAAGAGGAGGAGGAAGAGGAGGAGGAGGAGGACGAGGCGGAGAGTGAGGAGGAGGAGGAGGAGGAGGAGGAGGAGGAGGAGGAGGGAGGAGGATGAGGAGGATGAGGAGGATGAGGAGGATGAGGAGGAAGAGGAGGAGGGGGAAGCAGGAGGAGGAGGAAGAGGATGAGAAGCAGGAGGAGATGAAGCCTCTTGGGCCGTTTTGGCGGTCTGTTGGGCCGTCTTGAAGCCATTTGGGCGGCCTGGGGCTATATTGGGGCTCTTCGGCCCCTCTTGGGGCCGGGGCCTTCTAAAAGCAGCCTCCTTTTAAGAAGCATTCCCCCCTCCCCCTACCCCTTGTGCGCGCCGCCAAGAGAGCGGAGGAGGAGGGCTGAGGAGGCGGAGGAGGGCGGGGAGGGGAGTGGGCGGGTCCTGCAGGGCGTGTCCATGGCAGGCTTCACTTCGATCCATTCCGATACGATTTCAATCCTCCTCCTCCTCCTCCTCCTCCTCCTCCTCCTCTCTCCATCCCTCCTCCTCCTCCCTCCTCCCTCCATCCTCCTCCCTCCCTCCCTCCCTCTCCCCTCCCTCCCTTCATCCTCCCTCCCTCATCCCTCCTCCTCCGCATGCTCCTCCTCCCCCATCGTTATTCATCGTCCTTGTCCTCCTCCCTCCTCGTTCTCCCCCCCTCCTCTCCTCCTCCCTACTCATCCTCCTCCCGCCTTCTCCGCCTCCCGCACCGAAGGGGAGCGGGCGGCTCCTGCTCGGAGTGGGGCGCCTGGGAAAGTAAATTTCAATCCGATTCGAGATTCTAGGTGTTCGAGGCTCTCTAACAGGGCCTCTTGAGGCTCTCGTGGGGCTTCTTGGCGGCGGCGTCTTCGGCCATCTGGGGGCCATCTTGGGCGTCTTGGGACGATCTTGCGGGTCGGCAAGCCAGGAAGTTCAATTCGAGTTCCCCCGACGGGGTCCCTCTTAGGGCTGTCTTGGGCTGTCCTGGGGGCTTTGTGGGCCGTCTTGGGGCCCTTTTCCCGGAAAGGGCTCGAGCCCAGGGTTCTCTTTTAGTATGTAAACATGTCCCCCGGTGCCTGCTTGAAGGAGGCCGGCGAATTTTTTCCCTGATAAATAACGAGGTCGAAGGAGGCCGGCGAATTAAAATTTGAGGATGTCTCGAGCGAAACGCTTGTTTTTCAGAAAATGGTGAGGATGTCTCGAGCGAAACGCTTGTTTTGTGTTATAGATTGTCCTCTCCTGGGGACCTGAATTCTGAGGACCACCTCCCAGCACGACCACCCCACCAGCACGACCACCCCCCAGCACGACCACCCCCCAGCACGACCACACCCCAGCACGACCACTCACCAGCACGACCACACCCCAGCACGACCCCACCCCAGCACGACCCCACCCTAGCACGACCACACCCCAGCACGATCACACCCCAGAACGACCACACCCCAGCACGACCCCACCCAAGCACGACCCCACCCCAGCACGACCACACCCCAGCACGACCACACCCCAGCAGGACCCCACCCCAGCACGACCCCACCCCAGCAAGACCACACCCCAGCACGACCACACCCCAGCACGACCTCACCACAGCACGACCACACCCCAGCACGACCACGCCCCAGCACGACCACGCCCCAGCACGACCACGCCCCAGCAAGACCACCCCCCAGCACGACCACCCCCCCAGCACGACCACCCCCCAGCACGACCACCCCCCAGCACGACCACACCCCAGCACGACCACTCCCCAGCACGACCACACCCCAGCACGACCCCACCCCAGCACGACCCCACCCTAGCACGACCACACCCCAGCACGATCACAACCCAGAACGACCACACCCCAGCACGACCCCACCCCAGCACGACCCCACCCCAGCACGACCACACCCCAGCACGACCACACCCCAGCAGGACCCCACCCCAGCACGACCCCACCCCAGCACGGCCCCACCCCAGCAAGACCACACCCCAGCACGACCACACTCCAGCACGACCTCACCACAGCACGACCACTCCCCAGCACGATCACGCCCCAGCACGACCACGCCCCAGCACGACCACTCCCCAGCACGACCAC